CAACGCTGAAAAGTAGCTGGCGCGTTGGTCAGTCCAAAGGGCATCACTATAAACTCATAACGCCCATATCTAGTCCGGAATGCAGTCTTGTACTGATCATCAGGATGGACTTCTATCTGATGGTATCCGGACTTTAAGTCTATCTTAGAGAAATACTTACAACCCTGCACTCGATCTAAAAGATCGTCTATCCTGCGCAGCGGCTCAGCATTCTTCACTGTGATCGCGTTCAAACCCCTATAGTCTATACACATACGAAGCTCTCCTTCCTTCTTGGGGACAACAAAACTGGTGCTCCAAAAGGAGACGAACTGGGCCTGATCCAACCTTTCTCAAGGAGTTCGTCTAACTGCTTGCGAAGCTCCTCTAACTGCTTGCGAAGCTCCTCTAACTCTCTAGGGGACATCCTGTAGACTGCACCCTTAGGCGTTCTACTGCCAGGCTCTATCTCTATCCTGTGTTGGATGGGTCGCGACACTACTCCTCTCGGCGACTCAGTCAAGTCTTTGAATTCTTCTAGCAGCTTGGCAATTGTTGGATCTATGGAACTATCCTTTTCCTGGGCCTCAGTGACAGGTCTGACATAAACTACAAAGACCTGGTCTTAATCGCGCAAATGCGGGAGCACTGAGATAGCAATGTGCCAAGGTGTTATCTACACCAGACACATGGAACAAGCGGGCAGTCTTAACCTCGCCTGACGGGCTAGGGAGTCTACACTCATGCTCTCTCAAATGAAGTGTGGCCCCTGCGGCCTCTCCCCAATCCATTCCCAACACTATATCAAAAGGAAGGTCATCCTGCACGAGGAGAGTCAAAGAATGGAGGACCTTCACCACTTTTCCATTCTTCTCTAGGCGAAAGTACGCCTGGACTCCCTCTACGTAGTCCTCAACTCGCATCGTGCAGTTGTCTGCGAGGACAATGACTATGGGGTCTACTAGTTTCTGGACCTTTAGTCCTAGCCTCAGCTTCTTCAGCGCCCTACGGTTAATGTAACTACGGGGAGCCCCTGAGTCTATAAGGGCCCCTACTCTACTTCTGAACACCTCTACATCTACCAAAGTCAGTTGTCCCTTACTCTCCCTTTTCATTTTGGCCCAGGTTGGCATTCTCTCTTTTAACTCTTCTGCCACACCTGTGAGGGACGTGCCTAAAGAGACGCTAACACACGCAGTCTCTGGACAACTATCTAGGCACGGGCCTGCAACCTCTGCCATAGGCTCATGTGGGTTGGGAGTTTCCTGTTCGCGCGCGCTCACTTCTCCACATGGCCTGGAAGTAGGGGCAGTTGCGACCCCTACTGGCGGTTGCCGTTTGACTGTTGAGCAGCCCAACGGGCCTGTCTATACTTTGGATAAAATTTTATTACGTGCGCCGGGTCACCACAGAATACGCACTGACCCATGTTCACGCGTTCCTGCCATAATCGCTGGTCCAAGCCCAAGTCTTCCCAGGGCCTGCCCTGCGGCAAGCCTGGATGCCATCCTCCTTGAGGTGCCCTTCCACCTCCTCGCCGTGGGGACCAGTTACCCTGGCGATTTAACGGGGGACCTTGACCCCTACTACCCACTTGGCGTTTTCCCTGTCCGCCAACCCCCTGTGCGCCCAATCCTCGGCCTCCCATGGCCTGGCCCCTTTGGCCATGGCCTCCTCCTCTACCTTGCGGCCTCCCTCCGACCGCGACAGCAGCGTAAGACCTCCCCTGCCCTACACTACTGTACTCCTCCCCTAGGCCCTACTCAATTTGATCATATGGGACCTCTTCTGTACCACCCTCCTCTAATGTCAGGATCAAGTGATCCTTGGCCTTGAGTTCGCCCGAGATGGTACGATCTTTCCACTTCTTCCCCTTCTCCAGGTCCTTATGCCAGAAAGTGGTAACTGGCATAGACTTCGACTCATACAGGACGACTTCTCTACTCAATGCATCGTAAGTCATGCCGGCCTGCTGAGATTTGTCACAGAAATGCCCGCGTAGGGCCTCTGGAATGGCACGATAAAACAACTGGACCAACTGGGGCTCAATGACCCCGTGGTCCGGGATGGCTACCAAGTCGTCCATGGTACCCTTGAGTGCCTTGGCACTCCTCCACTGCCGGGAGTGGATCGTTTGGAGCTTATCACAGGCTCTAATGCCTCGCGTTGGGTCAGCGAACCGCTCCTTGAGGAGCTTGAGGAATTGGGAAAGAGGAGTGGCTTTGGAATATGCAACCAGATTGTTTTCACAACCGGCTGTACGCGCGAGAGACCTGGCGAAGCTAGCCGCTTCGTCCTTCAGGGCCTGAAAGGCCACGAGGACTTGCTCCTCTATCTGGATATGCTGTAAATAAATGTAACTATTGACACTGGCCTCCCAGTTGTCAAAGTTCTCGTCCTTTTTTCCCCCGTACGCGTCTCGGAACTTAAGTTTCATTGGGTCCTTACGGGGTCTGGCCTCTCCTTCTACCGCGGCCGCAGCTTTGGCACCCTGAATGGCGCCCTCACAAAACTTCCCTACATTGTCCCTCAACTGTTTGACTTCGCCCCCAATGTGGGTGACGATTTCGTGCGCAAAATCCCTGAACCCGGATCGCATGGCACTCAACGCTACATCCTGGCTCCAGCTTGCCTGGCGCTCCTCCATCCAGGCCTTGCTCAACACCTCTAGATAGCCCAGTACTTTGTCCCACTTGGCCTTGTCATCTGGCTGGGCCAGCACCTCCGCTCTACACTCCTGCACCTTTGCCACTGCTGCGGTCATCTTATTCACTTCCTCTCTCCTCCTCTTCTTCTCCCTCTTCATTCTCAACTTCCATGCTAACTTTTGCTCGTCTTCCCTCTCTCTTCGTTCCATCGGGTCCGTCATGGCTGCTAGCTCAGCGGCCAGCGCAGCCGTCTCATCCTTAGTCACATATGACTCCGCCTCCTCGTCTTCCCCCAACGATAAATTAGCGACCCACTCGCTGATCGTCTTCTCCAACTCAGTATCTGTCTCCCACTTCATCGTGCCACCACTACTCCCTTCTCCACTCTCAATTCTCATTCTCTCTTTCTCTTCTTCTGCTACCGCTTCCGCTTCAGCAACCTTCCTTCTTTCTTCCTCCTCCTGTTGTACCCTCTTCATCTCCTCCTCCAACCTCTTCATCTTCGCCGCCTGCTCGTCTGCGATAGCCTTTAGCTTCGCCTGCTTCTCGCGCTCTTTTCTCTCCTTGTTCTCTCTGACTAAGGCGGCCATCTTTTCTTGCTGCTCCTTGCTATAGGGGTTAGTCTCTAGCCCAGTACGGGTCTCCACCATGGTGATAGGTGCACAATCAGGATGATTCCACTCCTCACCACGTAGACTCTAACCCCTGACTGACAAACCTGTAGACTCAATCTAAGAACCCACAGAATCCTGACAAGGACCCTATCAACTATGGTCTCTAGCCTAGACCTACACTATGGCTGTCACTACTGAACCAGTGGCTGATCAGGAGGCATTTAAGGAGATCCCCCGAACTCCTCAAGAATTCTTTAACGTCGCAGACAGGACGACGTGATCAGCTTGGTTCTGCCTGTGCTTTCAGCCCACAACTCAGCCTTTCCAGCCTACTGTGCCACACCGAGCAGCCCGCCGGTCTGTACCGGTCCTTGGGAGGGTTCGTATCCCCCGGGACAGTCGAGTCGTCAGACACAGATCATGAGCCTTACTTGGCCTAGTAGGGGAGTGGTTCAAACAGGCCCTCAACACTTGAAGACGGCCTCCGTTTCAGCCTGCAACTCAGAGTTCGGACCCTCTACACTGAAACTGAGTAGACCTGCCGGACAGTACCGGTCATTGGGCTAGACGAGTTGTTTAACGAGTGCTCGCCGCTCATGCCCAGGTCTCCAGATACCAGAGTAGAGATTGGTCCTACTAAGTCTCGTGCAGGTTTGGCAGCAAGGCCCTATCCTTCATCCACAGAGTTCTATGACTTAGGACAGAAGAGACTCAATGCAGAAAGAATAGACAGACAGACTGTACTCAGCAAGTACCAAGGGGTATGTGCACATCCGTAGGGCAAGGGGCAAGCTAAGGGCTTGGCGAGATGTTACCAATTCCAGCTTGGTCAAAGTCTTGGTCAATGCCTTGGTCAACGGCCTTGGTCAACGTCGGTCAACGCTGCTATGACCCTCGGTCAACTTCGGTCAACTCCGGTCAACGCCTCCGGTCAACCCTCTCGGTCGACTTCACGGTCAGCTATGGCTGCCGGCACTTCTTCCTCGCCAATCCCCTTCTTCTTCCTTACCTCCCTCGCC